CTCCACTACCGCTACCTCTTCGTCGCCAACACCACGGAAAAGATCGTCGTGGCGCCGGACGCGCTCTGCCGGGGCGCGCCGGCGCCCTGCGCCGGGGACCTCGTCGCCTTCGAGGCGAACGCCACGGACGCGCCCGTCGCCTTCTCGAGGGACCGGCCCCTCCGCGTCGCCCCGACGGACGAGTGGACCTTCGAGATCCACACCGTCGCTCCCGTGCTGCCCAACGGCTGGGCGTTCCTCGGCGAGACGGCCAAGTGGATCGCCGTCAGCAACGACCGCGTCGAGGCGATCGCCTACGACGACGCGGGCGTCCACGTCACGGTCCGCGGCGCCGCGGGCGAGCGCGTCGACCTCGCGTTCCTCGCGCCCGGCGCGGCGCGGGCCACGCACCTCGCCTGCACGATCCCGCTGTACGCGGCCACGTTCTCCGTCCCCGCGATGACCTGCGCCTAGACCGAGAGCGCTGCGTCAATCTAAGTTGGCCTCCGCGCATTGCTTCGGGTAAGCCACTCTTCAAGTTGACCAGGTTGCCACCGACCATGTTGCACCCACCTTTCCGGCAAGTTGCATTTCTCGGCGGCTGAGTTATGAGCGCATCGAGGGCCGCAATTTTGGGCGCATTGCTCGGCATTGCTGCCGCAACCAACGACATCGAGCGAGCTATGAGCGCATCGAGGGCTGCAATATTGGCCGCATCGCTGCTTCGCGCCGCTGCCGCAACGAACGACATCGTCGCGGAGAACCTGCTGCCCGGCAGCGCGTCGGACCACTGGGATGTGAACGGCGCCGGCTGTCCCGCCGTGCGCGGCTATATCACGGTGTCGTCGGCCCTGCCCGGCGAGACCGTCGACCTCAAGATGAAGATCGACGCCGGCGAGCGGCTGCGGCGCGTGGACGCCTTCCGCCTCGGCTACTACGGCGGCAAGGGCGCGCGGCGCGTCGGCGAGTTCGCGCTGCGGCCCGACGCGTCGGCGCTGTCGGCCGCGCAGCCGCCGTGCCTCGAGGAGCGGGCGACGGCGCTCTACGACTGCGGGCCCTGGGCCGTCGGCGCGAGCTTCGCGATCCCGTCGGACGCGACGTCGGGCCTCTACTTTGCGCGCATGGTCCTCGACGATCAGGCCGTCGGCTGGCGCGCCGACGCGTCGCCCAAGGCCGTCGACCTGCAGCACGCCGTCGCGGGCCGCGACCCGGCCCTGCCGCCGGACGGGTCGCTGCCCCACGCTTACGGCGCCGGCGGGAAGAACGCGCTCCGCGACGGCTTCCGGCTCCGCGAGCCGCGCGCGGCGCTCGCGTTCTTCGTCGTGCGGTCGCGGAAACGCGGCGACCTCGTGTTCCAGACCGCGGACCTCACGTGGCACGCGTACAACGGCTACGGCGGCTACACGACCTACGGCGCCTTCACGTATCCCTTTTTGCACGAGCCCTTCGACAAACAATTCATGAACCTGTCGGACCCGAGCCACGCGACGAAGCGGGCCTACAAGCGGAGCCTGAACACGCCCGTGATCACGCGCGACTACCGGAGCGTGAACGCGCCCTTTGGGGCGGAGCTCGCGGCGATCCGCTTCCTGGAGAGGAACGGCTACGACGTCCACTACTGCGCGGGCGCGGATCTCGCGGATGCCGCGACCGCGGACGACGTCCTCTCGCGCTCCCGGGCCTACGTGTCCGTGGGGCACGACGAGTACTGGACTTATGAGCAGCGCGAGGCCCTCGAGCGCTGGCGGTCAAGGGGCTTGCACCTGAATTTCTGGAGCGCGAACGAGGCCTACTGGGCCGTGCGCTTCCCGAAGGGCGACGCGCGGACCATGGTCATCTACAAGGAGACGCAGTCGCTGGAGAAGCTCGACGCGCCGGGCGAGTGGACGGGCACGTTCCGCGACGCGCGGGCCGTCAACCCCCGGGGCGCGATGCCGGAGAACGCGCTCACGGGCACCATGTTCGCCGCCAACGCGCAGCGCGTCGACCCCGTCGTCCTCGACGGCGCGCGGTTCGGCGCGCACCGCGCGTGGCGCGGCACGGCCGTGCGGACGGGAAAACAAACGCGCGTCGCGCTCGCCGGCGTGCTGGGCCACGAGTGGGACGAGGTCGTCGACAACGGCGCGTCGCCGCCTTTGCTCCAGAAGCTCTCGGAGACGTCCGTCGACAACGTGCAGTGCATCATGGACCACGGCGCGACGTTCGACTCGGGCTCCGCGACGCACAATTTGGTGCGTTTCAGCTTCCTTTTGCCGTGACGATTTTAGAGAGATTTTTGACCGTGACAACGAAGGGGAAATCGACACATCTGGTAGGTCTATTTCCGAGACCCGGCCTCGAAGGCGTGGACGTTCGGGGCGGGCACGGTGCAGTGGGCCTGGGCGCTGGACGCCACGCACGACGCCAACGACCCGCAGCGCGCGAACAAGTACAACATCCGCGTCGAGGAGGACGCGCGGGGTCCCGACCGCGACCTGCAGCAGCTGACGGTGAACGTGTTCCAGGACATGGGCGTCCTCCCCGCGACGCTCGACCCGACCCTCCGGCTCGTCCACGATGCGGTGGACGACGAGCCGCCGGCGGTCACGCTGAGCTCCGCGGCGGTCGTCGGCGGCGTCGCCGTCCTCTCCGGCGGCGCGTCGGACGCGCGCGGGAACGTGGGCGCCGTCGAGGTGTCCTGGTCCCCGGGCCGCTGGCACCTCGCGACCCTCGACAGGATCGCGCCGGACGTGACCTGGAGTCTCCGCTGGGGCGACGAGCCCTGGCAGCTCCTCCACGGCGCGCCGCCGGCCGCGTTCGGCGCCGTCGACCTCCGCGCGGCCGACGACTCCGGCAACGTCGCCGCGGCGCGCGTCGTGGCCTCGCGTCCGGAGCTCTAAAACTTATCGGAAAATTCGACGCCCGCGGCGGCGCCCTTGGGCGTCATCCAGCCGCAGCGCACCCGGGACGCGTTGCCGCGCGGCCGCCGGCCGAGCCAGCAGCGGCCGCCGTCGTCGACGGGCCGGCTCGCGGCGCCGCAGAGCCCGTCGAGCCGCGCCGCCGCGTCGCGCACGCCGCCGCCGTTGACGTAGCGCTTGTGGTGAATGAAGAGCAGCGGGCCGAAGAGCGGGCTCGCGCACGACGCGGGGCCTTCCAGGCTTCGCACGTTCATCGTCTCCGGCAGGGGCCCCAGCGTCCACAGGTGCTTCGTCTTCGCCCAGGCTCCCCCCGCTCCCAGATCGCCGCAGTGCCGCGCCATGAGGTCCAGGAGCGGCCGCTGGTCGCTGGCGAACGTGCGCTCCGCGGCGCCGTCGAGCGGCGCCGTCGCGGCCCAGTGCCTGTGTGGAAATCAAATCTTCAACCCGACTTCAATGTGCGCGTATTCGAATGCTTTGCCACGAGCACTTTCGCTGTGCTTCGAAGACTCGACGAGAGCAATCGATCCGTCCAAAAATCAGCCGAATCGACTTCGATTTGACAGAGCTAGGGAATTTCAAAGTTTGGTCGGCACGTCCCAAACCAGTGGTTGATTTCCACACAGCCCAGTGCGCGAGGTACGCGTCGGCCCAGTCCCGGGCGAAGGCCCGCGACCGCGCGCCGCCGCCGAGCGCGAGCGCGCCGCCCTGGGCGCCGCCGCAGGCGCTCGGCGCCGCGCGCGCCTCCTCGGCGCAGCCGGCCTCGAGCACGGCCGAGAAGTCGACGTGCTCCGCGCGGCGCCAGACGCACTCCTTCGCCGCGTGGCGCGCCGCGGCCTCGTCGTCGCCGCGGGCGAAGACGTGGGCGCGGACCTACCAAGCGCGACGAGGTCGGATTGTTTCGCGTCTTCGGGCGACATTCGCGCGAAAAAACACTCCCGTCGCTCGACGCCGGCGCGGACGTCGTAGGCCTTGGACCGCGCGAGGCGGTGCAGGAGCGCCGAGAGGGGCGTCCGCTTGCCCGGCGCGGGCCGCGCGCCGCCGCAGAAGAACGTGTCGTCGTCGACGAAGAGCGTGAGGTCCCAGGGCTTGCGCGCGAGGTTCAGCAGGCGCCCGAGGCGCGACCGGAGCTTCGCGCGCCGCCGGGCGACGACGTCCGCGCCGCCGTCGGCGAAGAGCAGCGCGCGCTCGCGCGCGTCGCGCGGCTCGAAGGACGCGAGGCCGTCGGGCAGCACGACGTCGAAGAGCTTCTCCGTCGAACCCAAGAGCGCGCGCGTCGCGGCGTGCACGGCCGCGGCGTCGACGTCCGTGAAGAGCGCCAGGGGCAGCGTCTCGCGCCGGCGCACGGACCAGGCGCTCAGCACGACGTTGCGCAGCTCGCGCCGCAG